GCAGTAGCATAAGTCTTGGGCTTGAAAATGCCTGCCTTAGATCTTGTAATCATGTGGTGTTGACCTGCTCTATCTGTAAAATTGTCAACAACATTAGGAGCATGGGAATTACCAAGATTAGAAGCAGTAGGCTGCAGAATAGGTAGGTCAATGATGATCTGTCCTATGGGAATAGAAGAGGACTGAGAGCTAGAAGGGGAATGGGAGGGTGAGTTGGAGTGAGGGGTATTGTGATAAGATGATCTGGGAGGTGAGTGATGAGGAGATGATCTGATAGGTGAAGAATGATGAGATGAATTTGATTGTTGATGAAGAGAAGTAGATTGATCAACAGATGGTGGAGGTTCAGTAGGTAAGATGTGACCAAGGGGAATAGAGTGATTTTGAGGAACTTCAGAATGTGAGGGTGTTAATGTGGTGGAGCTAAAAGGAAAAATGGATTCATCAAATATGACATGCCTGGTAGTAATTATTTTCTTGTTGGGTAAGAGGACCTTATAACCTTTGTGAGAGGGGCTATATCCTAAGAAAACAGAAGGGAGGCTTCTTGGTTCCAATTTGTGTTTAGTGTAAGGTTTCAGTAAAGGAAAACATAGGCAGCCAAAGGTTTTGAGGTGGTCATATGGGGGGAGAGAATTTGTAAGAAGGTGAAAAGGAGATTTAAGGCCAATAGACTTCTGAGGAGTTCTGTTAATTAGAAAAACTCCACTAGCAAAGGCTTCATCCCAATAGCTGAGGGGAACATTAGACTGATACAACAAGGATAAGCCTACTTGAACAATGTGTCTATGTTTCCTCTCAGCTAGCCCATTTTGTTATGGAGTATAAGGGCAAGATATTCTGGAATTGATTCCAAGTTCAGACAGAATAGGTTTGAGGGATTGAAATTCACCTCCACCATCACATTGAAGGAATTTAATGTTGCTGTTAAACTGATTCTTGATGAGGGATGTGAGATGAAGGAAAACATTCTTTGTATCTGATTTATTTTTCAGCAAATAAAACCAAACAAATCTAGTAGACTCATCTATGAAGCTCACATAATATCTGAAGCCCTTGTGAGAGGTGATTGGGGCAGGACCCCAAAGGTCAGAATGAATGATTTCAAATGGTTTGCATGCATGCACATTAGATTGAGAAAAGGGTAATTTGTGAAATTTAGGTTGCATACACACAGTACAAAACAAGTTTCTTTCATTATCAAGAAAGGGCACATTACATTGCTGCAAGGCAGCTTTGACAATGTCATAAGAGGGGTGTCCCAATCTATTGTGCCAAATTTCTAAAGAGAGAGGAGTCTTCATGACTGCTGCATTGCAACTTGATTGAAAAGAAGTTGAATCAGGTTCAGAAGGTTGATAAATGGACTGTGGTGAGTTGGTTGAGGCATTGATGAGTTGAAAACAATAAAGGCCATCCTTAATAGTTCCTTGTAGCAAAGTTGTTCTTGTCTTGAGATCCTTCACATAGCATAAATGAGGGTGAAATTCAAAAAGAACTTGATTATCCTTTGCAAACTGAGAAACACTCAATAGATTTTTGGTAATTTGGGGAACATGCATAAGGTTATTAAGAAGAAAAACATTAGACTTATGTGAAGAAGGATTGATCATCATTGAAGTACCAGTATGTGTTATAGCCATACCTGCTCCATTAGCTGTTTGGATCCTATCATTCCCTTGGTACTCTGAGGCCAAACTTAAGTTTGAGAGATCATTAGTAAAATGATGGGTGGCTCCTGAATCTGGAAACCAAAGAAAGTCTTGAGAAGCATCTGAAGCTTGATTTCCAAAGCTAGCCACATTGGCAGATAAGCCACTTTCTGAGGAGGTTGTGTGATTTTGTGCTCTTGGTGTGAAATTAGCATCAAACCGATAATAGCATTTGTCTGCTGTGTGGTTATTATAGCCACAAATTTGACATCTTGCTCTAGACTGCCCTGAGAAACCTCTTCCTCCTCTACCTCTATATGATCTTCCTGAGTTTCTTCCTCTACTACCTTGGCCAGATCTTCCTCTTAAAGCATTTGAACCTCTACCTCTTGAAGCATAAACAACCATATTGGCATTGGTGTTGGAATTAGTGGCCATGTTTGCAGCTAAAAGAGATCCATCTGTCTCATTTCCTCCTTCAATAGACTCCAACCTGCTTTCAAAGCTCAAGAGTATGGAGTAAGCCTCCATCATGGAGAAATTTTCAGATCTAGAGGTTAGAGAGACCACCACAGGGTTATACTCAGATCCAAGGCCAGCTAGGAGGTGTAAGATTTGGTCACCTTCATCTATTCTCTGTCCTGCTGCAGCTAGAAGATCACAGATCCCTTTAACCTTGTTGTAATAATCTCTCATCTTCATGCTTCCCTTCTTGAGAGTCTGTAGCTCAAGTTTGAGATGCATCTGCTTAGCAAGGCTGTGGCTTGCAAATCCAGATCTCAGTGAATCCCAGATCTGCCTGGAAGTGCTCAAGCCAACGGTTGTCACCAACACATTCTATGATAATGAAGATAGAAGCCAAGAAGCAATGAGCTGGTCTTGTTTGACCCAGTTGATGTAAGATCTGTTCACTATGGGATCTCCAGTGGTTGGATCTGAGGAGAGCTTCTCAGGTTCAATTATTTCTCCTGTGAGATATCCTAGTAAGCCATAACCTCGAAGACTAGTGACTATTTGTTGTTCCCAAATGAGATAATTGCTATCATTTAGCTTCACTGAAATGAGCTGGCTCTACAGCTGGATTGTGGTGTCATTTTGGCTTGAAGAGACAGTCATAGTAAGAGAGAGATGGAGAAAGGTGAGGAAATGGAAAAGATGGATCAGAGACTAACCAAAAATGGCTAG